GGTGTTCCTCGTGTCCAGTGCCTTAGTTACGGCGCGAGAGTACATAGGCAATCCCATCCAGTGCATCTCGAAAGCAGTGCCAGGCAATGTCCTCAACACCTTCTGCTTCATCATGTCCACCTTCAGCGTGCCGAGGCACTGGGACGCGCCCCTCGGCGACGGCGTGGCATACCCGGGCGTGGGCAGTCACGACGACGAGGACGAGATTAAGTACCACGCTTACTACCAGTGGGTGCCTTTCGTTCTTGTTCTCCAGGCGATCATGTTCTACATTCCGCGATACCTGTGGAAGAACATGGAAGGCGGGCTCTTCACCACCATCCTGGCTGGCCTCGATAAACTCACGCTCGATGACAGCCAGAGGCACAAGAAGCACAAGATCTTGTCGCAGTACATGATCAAGCACCTCCACATGCACATGAACTGGGCTATTAGGTAAAGTAGGGTGATTTTCTTAACTGTGTATTGTTGCATTTTAATTTGCCATTTCATAATGTATTGACGGGAGGGGTATAAATGTTGGTTGCCCTAAGGAAGATATACATAATGACACTGTCAACTTGATTTGAATATTGATTTATATTAAATTTTAAGTGTCCAGTATTTATCACAACATATCTCAGGGTAAGATGGAGAATAACAAGACGGCAGAAATAATGCCAACCATCTCAAAATATAAGAGTATGAAGGAATTTCAGGAAGGACTCTACCGAGCAGGATTCAACAACACCCCAGACTGTCGAGTGTTGAGGATTCGGTCACGTAGGCACTCGAAGAAAGGTGCCAAGGTAGCTGCTTTGTACTAGAATTATTCATCATAGACTGCCTTGTTCACCTAAGCAGATGTAAAACCAGTAGCATGAGGGATTACTGCTAAAACCTATGATAGGGAGTTATTTACCAGCGAGTTTTGAAGGGTTTGCGGTTGTATCTTTGAAAAATCTACGGCAACCAAACCCTAATCTTAACGCTGCGTTGTCATTGACCGCGTTTTTTCATCTGCGGTATTCCAGCCCAACAACTAAGGCTGATGTAATATTAGCAACGTAAGAATAGAAATGCAAGATCAATGAACGCTGTAGGAAAGGCCAAACACGAGAGCGCCGGAAGCAGTAATGGCAAGATGCTCTGGACACTATTATTTGGTGTTGTCAAGACGCATTGGAATGAAGGCTTTGTCGGGGGGATAATCATTATTTCTTCGCCTCTTGTTGCCTCCACGATGGCAAGTCGGCCAAGTTTCCGAATCGTCTCGGCCTTTTCCATCGCCTCTTCGGGATCAGTTACTTGAGAATTTCTCTTTACTTGTTTGATCTTACTGAAATATCGATCTTTTTCGGCAATTCTTGAAATCAGGGCCACGTCTGGTATCATGCGATTAACGATAATCAAATGTCCTTATTATGAAACCAAGTCACATGTTTTACTGTTGTGAATGCGTCTTCTTGTAACAGGCTAAAGCGATCATGATTTACCTTGTTACACCAGTGGATAAGTCTTGGTAAAGTTAGATTGTATCAATTTTCAAGAGCTATTTGGGGTTACCGTTGTCCAGTTGATAGCAACGTTACCATATTTTTAGTCAAGAAGGAATGGGTTACGGTATTGAACACCGCGTATGATGTATAGCAGTTTCAATTATATTGTATCTGTTACTGCATAGATGTAAATATTTTCCATATGTGTATAAATCTATTTAGTCGAACTTAGTTGAAGATGCAATCGATCCCACTAAACACTTGTTAAAGCCTGTATTTCCTATTATAAACAAGTCTGCGGGTGCAGGCGTGCACGCACGTGCCTGTACACTTACACACGCGCGCACTCCATACTCCATTGGTTTCTAGAATTTAAGCAATCATTAGTTACGTTAGCTTAGCTCACGCTATCTCGGGACTAGTTTGTTCTCCATAGTAACCAGTGACGTGGCTGTGGAAAGAGAGGGGGTGGGGTTTCACCGCCCCCGGGCTGGATTAGAGGACTGCCCACAAATGACGCCTATGTATTATAAAGGTACGTGGAGACCCCTATACCAAAAGTTTAGGGGCTCCACAAGCGATACCAAAAATCCCGGGGTGTGTGATCTAACCCTCGGGCACACAGATTCCTAATTACACTTCTGTTAACAAGTCATAAATAATAGGCCTATTTGTGAAATTAATATACCAGGAGAGCTAGCCACTTCTGTACCCCCCCCCCCCCCCCAACCAATAAGACTGGCGAAAACCTACCGCTTTATCAGTGGGTCGTTCATTTATTAGTCCCAACGGTCGCTTGGTCGGACTCGAAGTTGAGGAGGGTGAATCTGAACGACTTTGATTTTTCGGTTCAGGGGCTTAAAATGAGTGTATCTAATAGCAGTGGGGGAAATGCTGCGCTAGCTTACCCCGTTTTATGGTTATCATGCATATATAGCCGACTGTTTTTCGCGTGCGGGAGAGCCATATCGATATCCTGTTCTAAGTATTGTATATCTACGTAAACCAAGTTGGAATTGACCAGAAAGTTCCCTTGGAGATAAGCTTATGATAGGCCTAGATTCGAAAACCGCCAGTGGCTTGGGTGAGGCTCCTACCTAACCTACTTTGACGCAGACGAAGCCCCGTATTTTTTTTCTCTCTCTCCTTCTCTTCTCTTCCTTTTCTCCGTATCTGCTTTTCTCCTTTTCGTATTTGTTCCTCGCCTTCCCGTTCATTCTCTTTCATGAGGCTTTTTCGGACATGCATTCATACATCTTTTTCTTCTCTTTTCTCTGTGTATGTTTTTCTCCTTTCGTCCTCTTCCCCTTCTCTTTCTTACTTTACTCCTTTCCCCCCCTTTCATTCTCCATTCTGAAGCTTTTTCGGACATGCCTTCATACATGCATTTATAGCAGCACGCACCGGTGACCTGCCACAGTGGTACATCTGGCCAAGACCAGGTGGCCGGGATGCGAACCTGGTCACTCTCACTACGAACTAGGCGTGCCGAAGCCTCGGTCACGCTGGTACGCTTACATGTGTATTAGTTTGTTTACTTTACTTGTTGGTTCTGTATGTCGTTTCCACTTCTCTCTCTCTCTCTCTCTCTCTCTCTCTCTCTCTCTCTCTCTCTCTCTCTCTCTCTCTCTCTCTCTCTCTCTCTCTCTCTCTCTCTCTCCCTTCCTCCCTTCTACCTCTCTCTCTCTCTCCTCTCTCTCTCTCTCTCTCTCTCTCTCTCTCTCTCTCTCTCTCTCTCTCTCTCTCTCTCTCTCTCTCTCTCTCTTCTCTCTCTCTCTCTCTCTCTCTACCTCCCTCTCTCTCTCTCTCTACCTCCCTCTCTCTCTCTCTCTACCTCTACTTCTACTTCTCTCTCTCTCTCTTTACCTCTACTTCTCTCTCTTCTCTCTCTCTCTACCTCTACTTCTCTCTCTCTACCTCTCTCTCTCTCTCTCTCTCTCTCTCTCTCTCTCTCTCTCTCTCTCTCTCTCTCTCTCTCTCTCTCTCTCCTCCTCTCTCTCTCTCTCTACCTCCTCTCTCTCTCTCTCTACCTCCCTCTCTCTCTCTCTCTACCTCCCTCTCTCTCTCTCTCTACCTCCCTCTCTCTCTCTCTCTACCTCCCTCTCTCTCTCTCTCTACCTCCCTCTCTCTCTCTCTCTACCTCCCTCTCTCTCTCTCTCTACCTCCCTCTCTCTCTCTCTCTACCTCTCTGTCTCTCTCTCTCTACCTCCCTCTCTGTCTCTCTCTCTCTACCTTCCTCTCTGTCTCTCTCTCTACCTCCCTTTCTGTCTCTCTCTCTACCTCCCTTTCTGTCTCTCTCTCTACCTCCCTTTCTGTCTCTCTCTCTACCTCCCTTTCTGTCTCTCTCTCTACCTCCCTCTCTCTCTCTCTCTACCTCCCTCTCTCTCTCTCTCTACCTCCCTCTCTCTCTCTCTCTACCTCCCTCTCTCTCTCTCTCTACCTCCCTCTCTCTCTCTCTCTACCTCCCTCTCTCTCTCTCTCTCTCTTACCTCTACTTCTACTTCTCTCTCTCTCTCTCTACCTCTCTCTCTCTCTCTCTCTCTCTTTACCTCTACTTCTCTCTCTTCTCTCTCTCTCTACCTCTACTTCTCTCTCTCTACCTCTCTCTCTCTCTCTCTCTCTCTCTCTCTACCTCTACTTCTCTCTCTCTCTCTCTCTCTACCTCTACTTCTCTCTCTCTCTCTCTCTCTCTCTCTCTCTCTCTCTCTCTCTCTCTCTCTCTCTCTCTCTCTCTCTCTCTACCTCTACCTCTACCTCTACTTCTCTCTCTCTCTCTCTCTCTCTCTCTCTCTACCTCTACTCTCTCTCTCTCTCTCTCTCTCTCTCTCTCCTCTCCCTCTACTTCTCTCTCTCTCTCTCTCTCTCTCTCTCTCTCTCTCTCTCTCTCTCTCTCTCTCTCTCTCTCTCTCTCTCTCCCTCTACTTCTCTCTCTTCTCTCTCTCTCTCCCCTCTACTCTCTCTCTTCTCTCTCTCTCTCTCTACCTCTACTTCTCTCTCTCTCTCTCTCTCTCTCTCTCTCTCTCTCTCTCTCTCTCTCTCTCTCTCTCTCTCTCTCTCTCAATATTACTCCCGGACTTTAAAATCTCAAAGCCTCAGCCGATAGTAATAAAAAAGTTATCCGTGCACTTCCTGGATGTTGTTGCATCAGTGTCTTGGGAGACCTGTCCGGGCGTTGGCCAAGGACCGGTTGTGGTGGCAGTGAGTAGGCCGCTTGGACATTGGTTCTTGGCCACCGCGGGGACAGCCTGCAGTGAGAGAGGGAGGAAGGGAGATCTCAAGGACGAACTATGACGGAGGAAGGAGACGTAGGATTTTTTTCTCTCTCTTTAAAGCTGCTGTTGAGGGTAGTTATTTCAGTTCAGTAGTCGAGTCGCGATGTACAGTGATTCTGGTAATGGTTATTTGATAGAGATTGGAGGGGTTAGGGTGAGAATAGGTAAGGGTGTGATGCAAGGAAGCTGTGTTTAGGCTGTGGAGTAAAACGGCGAGTTAGAATGTGCTCGGTCACGACACCGGCCGCACCTGTTCCCCCTGGGCTTTTGTTGTATTTGTTTCTCGCACCCTCAAAACAAATCCGATTAAAAAAAAGAATAAATAAATGCAGTCCTTGCGTATGTTCGCTGAATTTGAACGAACGTCGGACAAGATGCCAAGTTGTGAATTGTACTTGATCATTATTTCCGTCGTGTCTGCGCTGAATCCAGACTCGATAACTGATTGATTTCTCGTCGCCGGACTCCGCATGCAAACTAACCCCGTGTAATGCACCGAGGAGAGCGGTGATTGCGTTTGCTTCTTGTGATTTTCCCTCTCTCTCTCTCTCTCTCTCTCTCTCTCTCTCTCTCTCTCTCTCTCTCTCTCTCTGTCTGTCTCTCTGTCTCTCTCTGTTTTTCTGGAGAGGGACTACCATGTGACTCCGTGAGGTGTTTGTTTCGTCCTCTTGTACTAAAACGGGAGGTATCACCACCTGAGCGGCGTTGAAATCTCTCCTGATTTCCATTCTTCCCGGAACCTTGTTATTGTTATTGTCTCTTAGGGTTGTCATGGTTAATGCATACTATTCCGTCCACCAACTTGCGAAATTGGTGGTTTGTCCGAATGGCTTGTTATGATGACCCAAATGGCACGTAAGGAATGGTAAGGGTGTTTGCGGTTTGCATAGGTCGGCCATAACGTGAAGCATTTTATCGAAATATAGCCTTTTCTGTGTCATGTTCTGTATTTTTTTTTAAAGTTTAGGAGTATGTATACATCGTGTTGAAGTGTTATCCCCAGAGTGTTAGCGTAGAGGCTGATGAGTCATTACCAACCTCCCTGTCCGAATATTTTTTCTCAACTTTCTCGCCTCTCTCTGTCTGTCTCTTCCTCCCCCCCTCCTCTCTCTCTCTCTCTCTCTCTCTCTCTCTCTCTCTCTCTCTCTCTCTCTCTCTCTCTCTCTCTCTCTCTCTCTCTCTCTCTCTCACCCAACTGCCCACCCACTTTCACTATATTATCCACTCCCTCCTCTTTTCCCCTCATTTATCTCCTAGATCTTGGCATCATCAAAGTAGGCGGGGTTGGGGGGGGTACGTTCTCATTCCACTTCGACAGTAAAATTGAGAGCAAAGAGGGGGGGGGGTAGAGCTGCCAGTTCTAGATGACGACACATGAACTACCTAATTATATCGTGTCTGTTTTGATTAGTCCCTCAGTCACGCACCCAGGGATGTGGTGTCATAATGTTCCTGGTGTCATGTGCCTTTTTTGAGGGGGGGGTCATCTTAGCGTGTGTAATATGGGTTTTTGTTTTTTTCATAGGCTCGTGTCCCTTCGAAGTTGTATATGTATTTTTCTGTTATATAAAGGGAGTGCTGGGTTTAGTCTCAGTCCTTGGCATAGGAGCAGTTGACAGAGGCCCTTTGAGACTGGCGTGCTCTCCTTGTGACATTTTGGAAGGTTCCGGGCCAGTCAGTCCGGGACAGCGAATGGGGTTTGTGTCTTTGGTGAGGATTCTACAACGGAGCGGAGCGGTAAAAAGAAAGCTGTTACCGTCCACTAGTCTCGGTTGGTACTTAAACAAACACCTGGCTTTTCATCATCTCTGACGAGTGTTTGGCACCAGATCCAGTACCTATGCCATTACTACAGATTTTTGAAATACCATGCGTTTGTGAAACTTGCACTTCTTATTGTAGTTTTGAATTTTAGCTAACAAGTACTATTCAGCTTGGAAGGATTATCCAGCAGCATTAAGGGAGCAGGTGCGGCTGGCGGCAGGTAGCGTGGGCCGCGGGTGAGAGCCGCGGCGGACGCTATGTCAACACCGCCTGTATTTACTCCATCGCCCGTTGTGATTATAACCCATTCCCCGTTCCACTTGAAGGCAGGCCCCGCGCCAGACTTTCATCGAGGGGGAATTGTTATGCGGAGAGCGCTAGGCGGCGATCACATACCTATGCAGCGGCCCGTACTCGCGTCTTAAAAGTAGCGATGTACTTTTTTGGAAATGTTTACGTGGCCGACTAATAGGTTGCATTGGCAAGGCAGTCAGTTATCGCGTGTCGCTTTGAATATTCTTTTAGGGCGCATTACGTGACGCTCATCGATATTACTCTCCTTGATCACGTGCTCTGGTTGGTGATTGGAGTTTTGGGGGTTACGAAAAGGCCTTTTAACGACCTTTTAAACCCCTTACGTTATCAATCTTTTTTGTAGTGATGATTACGATCGTCAGCAGAAGTAGCATCTGTTGTGATCGTCATTAGTGGTGTTTTCATTGTTATATTTTCTCACACACTCCCTTTTAATTCCGGCAGGTTCTTCCTGTGCGAGGCGCTGTGTCTGGTGGTGGTCGTCGGCAACATCTACTTCACCGACTTCTTCTTGGATGGCACCTTCATGACCTATGGCACCGACGTCATCAATTTCCCCGACATGGACCCCGAAAACAGAGTTGACCCCATGACGCGCATCTTCCCCAGGGTCACCAAATGCACCTTCAGGTAAGTCAGGCAGGCCCTTCGGTGCATTCAGAGGCACGGCGTGTCGTGGGTATGGCATTGTGAAATCGTCTGCGGAGGACGGAAAACACCTGTGTACTAATGCGTGTTCCGTACGTGTGTGTGTGAATGGCCTGTGTATGGATAGATGTGTTTGCGAGTACGTAACCTTACGTAATCAGCTTTCATGTTGACATAAAGTGACACTGGACGTGGGCATGGAGATAAATCATCTGGCTTCTTATGCCTAGGTGCTCTGCTCAGCAGTACATCAGTGCCCCGCTCTGTCAGCTGCAAAACCTTGACCATTTTGTGCTTATCTGTGCCTGTTTGTGCGTGCGCTGGGTGTAAAGATTTCCTCACTCACTGCCTCTTACTCTATCTGTATCATTCTGTCATTCTGTATGCTAAGTCTCTTTTATTACCTTCTTGTATTTTCCTTGATGTTCATAGATTCCTCTCTGGATTCATGTGAATTCGGTTAGTGTGTGTGTGTGTGTGTGTGTGTGTGTGTGTGTGTGTGTGTGTGTGTGTGTGTGTGTGTGTGTGTGTGTGTGTGTGTGTGTGTGTGTGTGTGTGTGAAAGAGAGAAAAAAAAGAAAAGAAAGAGGGAGAGAAGAAAGGAAGGAGAATAAAGAGAGAGGAGAGAGGCGTAAGTGAAAATATAAGCGTACCTGTAAATGTTCAACACTCATTCATGCTTGTATAGAGCCCCGTGAAACACCTGCTTAGTCTCCGATTAAGATTTATCGTGAGTTGACATCGTAGTTCCACGTGATTGGATAAGTGCTCATTTATTAACGGAATAAACGTCTAATTATGCGGTGCGGGGCGGAGAATATATCAGAGTATATTAACGCTGGCTGTCTGCTATCAATCCCAGCTGTGTAAAAGCGAGTCAAGTTCGGTCTTAATAATTTGTAAATCGTAAAAATGATTCAGTGTCATTTAATGTTGGAATCCATTAGACCAAACAAAACTCTTTATGGGAAGTATGTAGTTTTCTAATATAGCCTTTGATAGCGTGGAGGTGACCTTAAACCCATTAGATAGTGAAAACACAAACTAAAAAAAAACTGGCCCTTTATTTGACTGGTGAACCGGTCTATAAATAACACGGCAGATTAGAATAAGATGCGGGACCTAGTTTGACACTCCTTTGTAACTGTGAGGACGGCTTCAGGCTGTGTGGTGTGTACGCCGACTAGTTCTAAGGGCGAAAAAGTTGTTCTTGCCCTGTGTGAATTCGCCTTGCTAAACTTTTCCTTACGAGTATTCTTTTTTCTCCCCTGTACTTTCTTCTCGTCTTCTCTCTCACTGTCCATCATTGTCTTGCTCTCTCTTTTTATTCCTCGTTCCTCCTTCCTTTTCATCTTCTCCCCTTCGTCTCCTCCTCCCTCCTCCTCCTTCCTCCTTCCTCCTTCTTCCTCCTTCTCCTCCTTCTTCCTTCTCCTCCTCTTCCCTCTTCTTCCTCCTTCTCCTCCTCTTCCTCCTTCTCCTCCTCTTCCTCTTCTTCCTCCTTCTCCTCCTTCTTCCTTCTCCTCCTCTTCCCTCTTCTTCCTTCTCCTCCTCTTCCCTCTTCTTCCTCCTTCTCCTCCTCTTCCTCCTTCTCCTCCTTCTTCCTTCTCCTCCTCTTCCCTCTTCTTCCTCCTTCTCCTCCTTCTTCCTCTTTCCTCCTCCTCCTTCTTCCTCCTCCTCCTCCTCCTTCCTTCTCCTCCTCTTCCTCCTTCTCCTCCTTCTTCCTTCTCCTCCTCCTCCTTCTTCCTTCTCCTCCTCTTCCTCCTTCTCCTCCTCTTCCCTCTTCTTCCTCCTTCTCCTCCTCTTCCCTCTTCTTCCTCCTTCCTCCTTCCTCCTTCCTCCTCCTCCTCCTTCCTTCTCCTCCTCTTCCTCCTTCTCCTCCTTCTCCTCCTCTTCCCTCTTCTTCCTCCTTCTCCTCCTTCTTCCTCCTTCCTCCTTCCTCCTTCCTCCTCCTCCTCCTCTTCCCTCTTCTTCCTCCTTCTCCTCCTTCTTCCTTCTCCTCCTCTTCCTCCTTCTCCTCCTTCTTCCTCCTCCTCCTCCTTCTTCCTTCTCCTCCTCTTCCCTCTTCTTCCTCCTTCTCCTCCTCTTCCTCCTTCTCCTCCTCTTCCCTCTTCTTCCTTCTCCTCCTCTTCCTCCTTCTCCTCCTTCTTCCTTCTCCTCCTCTTCCCTCTTCTTCCTCCTTCTCCTCCTTCTCCTCCTTCTCCTCCTTCTTCCTTCTCCTCCTCTTCCCTCTTCTTCCTCCTTCTCCTCCTTCTTCCTCCTTCCTCCTCCTCCTCCTCTTCCCTCTTCTTCCTCCCTCCTCCTCCTCCCTCCTCCTCCTCCTCCTCCTCCTCCTTCCTTCTCCTCCCCTCCTCCCTCCTCCTCCTTCCTCCTCCTCCTCCTCCTCCTCCCTCCTCCTCCTTCCTTCTCCTCCCCTCCTCCTTCTTCCTCCTCCTCCTCCTCCTCCCTCCTCCTCCTCCTCCTCCTCCCTCCTCCTCCTCCTTCCC